CACAAAGGGGATGTGATCCACCAGATGCTCTCCTGTCGTGCAAATAGCAATTGCCGGGCTGGGGGTCGCCATATCAGGACCTCAGTAACCACTGAGGATAACAGAAGAGCCAGCTAAAACCCAGCCCCCCATCCACTGGCCCACATTTTGCTCGGGCTGTCTACCCACTTCTGCACCAATCTCTCAAGGCTTTGAAACGTGCCATCTCCCAGGCCAGCCCAAAGTATCGGCCACCAGCAACTCTGCAGTCCCCATCAAAGAGAGCCACTCACTCTCCAGGCTCGGTCGCAGCCTCCCACCTGTTCCAACATGAACTAACTTCACTTCGGACACAGCGTCCCTGCCATCCCTGGATCAAGGAGCAGCTGCCTGAGTGCGGGGCCAGGGGCTGTGGCTTCTGTGCGGAGTGAGAGGAGAGCAATGTGGGGCTTATGGTCCTCAGATGGACGGTCCATCTCATCTGGCATCTTCACTTGTGTGCCACCCCATCCTTCAGAGATGCTCCCCCAGGGACGGCACAGCTGCTCACAGGCCCTTAGCCCTCGGTTCAGCCACAGACAGCCAAGACCTCTTAGCTAACTTCACAGCATGAGCAACTACATTCTCCCTCCTCCAGACACCACGATCTCATAACTGGGAACTCCGGCATCCTCTCCTGGGTTGCACTGAAGTCGTTCAAGAGAAAGATCTTAACCCAAGTTCTCTGAATCCCCCCTCTCTTGGCTCTCTCCATTTATTGCAGGACGACCTCTGGGGGCAGCTCAGGCCTCTCTCGTCCCTCTGTGACGTGCTTGCTGGTGGCTGGTCGTACGCAGCCAGAGCCAGGAGATGACTGTCCATCGAGCAAACAGGAACACCACGCTGCCTCCTGCCAGGTGTTGCTAAGTGCACTTTGCCGATATTAACTCAACAATTCCTAACAACGACGTGCTACATGGGTGCCACAATTGTCCCCATTTTATGGATGAGGCAAATGAGGTGGAGGGAGGTGGCACAGCCACAAAATCACACAGGTGGTCAGTGGCTGTGGTGGGCAGAACGATGCCCCCCACAGCCACCCTAATTCCTGGAGCCTGTGGGTGTGTTCTGTTACGTGGCAAGGGGGCACGAAGGGTGCAGACAGGTTCAGACCACTAACCAGCGACCATAACACAGGGAGACCATCCTGGATTGTCAGGACGGCCAGTGTAATCACAGGGGTCCTCAAATCGGGAGAAGAGGGCATGAGAGTCAGGGTCCCAGTGACACGATGAAAGAAAGACTCAAGCGGCCACCGCCGGCTTTGAAGATGGAAGATGAAGAAGCTGAGGGATGCGGGCAGGCTCCAGAAGCAGGAGAAGGCAAGGAAGCAGGTTGTCCCCGGCGCCTCCAGAAGAGAGCGCAGCGCGGCCGACGCTGGATTCAGCCCAGGGAGACTCCTTGGGGACTTCTGACCTGTGTGTGTTTAAGCCTCTGCGTTCATGGAAATTTGCTACGGCGCAGGAAGAAACTAACGCAGATTCTGGCCCCGGGAGCGGGATGCTGCTGTAACGAATGTGGAAGCGGCTTTGGAATGGGGCAACGGGCAGAGGCTGGGAGAACTCGAGACACGTGATAGAAGGAGCCCAGACGGCCTTGAACAGACTGCTGGGAGAAACAGGGATGTCCACAGCTCTGCGGTGAGGGCCCGGAAGGAAGCAGGGAGGTGGAAGAGCAAGCCTGTGTCATCTCAGAGCCAAAGTCAGCACGAGGACCACAGGTGGACAAGGACCTTCAGGGCGCTCCTGGCAAGAGCGCAGATGGAAATGAGGAACACCGTGCTGGAAGCTGAGGAGAGGGGGTGTGGTGTCAGGGACAGCCTTCCTGGGACAGATCCGGGGGCTGCACCCTGAGGAAGGAAGGGTAATCAAGGGGGGCATCCAGCCTCCCAGGGCTCTGGGGGGTCTATTTGGGCACAGTGGTCACCGTCTTATCGAACTGCTGACTTTTCTTCAAAACAATCATCAGACATGAGACGATGTCACTTGTCACCTCTGGCTCTCCGCTGCCTCTGGAGCTTAAAGCCCCGGGACGGTGACTCCGGCTTGCTCGTTCACAGCTGTAGAACAGAGGCCTGAACAAGCGCCCGGCATGCGGGTCGCCTCCGGCCGCCCGAAGGACCGGCAGAGGGGAGGCTGGTAAGCTCTGTGGGGCCATCTCATCTCAGCAACCTCCTTTTGCTTCCGGGACTTACCAAACCACCTATGGGGACCACCCCCCATCCCTCTGCCCCACTAGGCGAGGGCCTGAGCCACAAAGGCATGGTGGAGGGACACGCATGCACCTGGACAGAGAAGTCTGAATCCCGCTCACCTTCCACCTGCCTCCAGGTCCCCATCCCTAACACGCAAACTGTCCTCCCTCCCTTTGAAGGATGCGTGTCAACCGCATACAGTAACCTACTTTTAACCTACCAGGCAGACCTTGTCCCCTCTCTCCAGCTCCACCCACCACTCTGCCCCGCAGGCGTCAAGCCAGGAGCTTTGTTTTTTTTTTTTTTAAAGATGGGCACCTGAGCTAACAACTGTTGCCAGTCTTCTTTATTTTTCTGCTTTATCTCCCCAAACCCCACTCCCCCCCAGCACATAGTTGTGTATTTTAGTTGCAGGTCCTTCTGGTTGTGGGATGTGGGACGCCGCCTCAATGTGGCCTGAGGAGCAGTGCCATGTCTGCGCCCAGGATCCGAACCAGTGAAACCCTGGGCCGCTGCAGTGGAGCGCGCAAACTTAGCCACTCGGCCACGGGGCCGGCCCCAAGCTTTGGTTTTTGAAAGGACACGCCAGCAGCAAAACAGAAACTCTGCCCCTTCACTGTCGCTGTCACTATTAAACATCCTAACAGCCTCCACAGCACACGCCCACCCCACCCACGTCGTGTGACCAGAGACGACCCATCCTCTAGCCGGTCCTCATCCTCCCGCCCGTTAGGAAAATTAACGTGCACACAACTTAGAAAACAACGCCTGTGGAATGGAAAGAAAGCTTAAGAGCAAGACGAAAGGAGGACAAAAGTAAGACGCCCTAAAAGTTCAAGTGTTGAATTTCCAGCAAGGATTACGGAAAAGGTGCCTATTCATACCTGTCTTTTCCCTCCAGTCACCCACAGCCCACCGTCCCCAGGGAGCCAGGCACAGAGGTGGCCTGCGGCACTGTTGACTCAGCCTCGGTCCCCCTGAGTGTGTGTACACAGGAGGTGAGCACGTGGGGACAGGGCCTGGAGAGAGCCTGAGGGCACGCACACTCGCGGCACCTGGAGCCGGGCAGGGTATCTAACACATCTCGTCGGCTGCACTACAAAATCATCTGGCCATCAAGACTCTGGCTGCTTCGCATCTTTGTCACTGCAGAAAAAAGTGGCCAGTCCAAGTTACACTGCCACATCATACCCTCCCTGCTGGGGATGCCAGCTCTCAACCAAAGCTCGGCTCTTGTTCCAGAAACACACACTGCATGGTAAACAGCAGCTTCTGATGGCCGCCACTTCCGGGCTCTGTGTTTGGGTCCCCCATCGCCCATCCCACCTTCTTGTCTTGTGAACCAAGGACAGCAGTGAAGTCCAGTCAGACAACCAAAGGGGCCAAAGGCCAGCCTTGTACCAAACGGGCGGACAAGTCGTGTTCACTTGATCTGACTTCCAGAGCGTGCACTGCATCGCTAGCTAGTGCTTGGTGCTGGGGAGTCAGCTCAAGGAAAGGGTCCTAGAGGAGCCGCCCTGTGCACCTGGAGCTGGGAAAAGAGCAGAGAAGGCACGTTTGTACCTAGGAGACGCTGTTTTCACAGCCTGACTGCAAGTGAGTTAGACAAGCCGTGAACCTCCACAGTGAAAAAGTCAGCAGTGAAGAAAGCAGGAGGGACGAGGGTGGGTGACCTCCTTCACTTCATTCTACGTAGGGAATTCGTTATTATCTCGCTTCTTTGGCAGTCTGGCGTGCCCAGATTGGCAACTTAAAAATTCTGGACAGGACCTTTGGGGATGTGTATCACTTTTTAAAGCACTGACATAAAAAAAATCAGACAGTGTTTCAGCCTTCTAAAAAGTCATGCTCACGGAAAACCTGCCATACCGTTTACAGTTTCTTTATTCACTCAGTGTCTCATTCATGTTCATGGGGAAGGAAACCTTTTCTACTGTAACACTATAAACACCAGTGTAATTTCGAAACTGAAAGCTTGAATCAAGATGCCCTGGGGGCTGTACTTTTGAAAATTTAGAAATACTACACACATTAAAGTAATTCCTTACTTATCTTAAGAATGCTTCTACAGAAAATCACTTCTAACCCCCATAACACATCAGCGGAGATCAAGCCGACCATCAAGAAGCCGGAAAATGCAGATACGCTCAGGACTGACAGGGGGCAGCCTTGAGTTGTTTCCTACTTTGCCGAGTAGGCCCTGCAGTGCCTCAGTTTCCTCTTTTGTGAAGAAGGGGTGATTACACAGCTTTGCTCTCCCCTGGAGGAGACCCTGTCCCTGAGGCGACTTAAATGCCTCTGGTTACATCAGCGGGCGCAGCGCAGGGCCGTGGGCTCTGGAGCCAAGCACCGTCATGGGGACACAGGACACCAGGAGCTTCTCCTTGGAGCCAGCGGTGCTTTCCAAGAGTCACCCGGAGTGTCACTAAGAAGCACTGAGTGGCTGATCAGCGACGGAGAACAAGTGGGAACAGAGGGTGGCCAGGGGTGGTCGTACACTATGGCCTCAGCCTGATGTCCTACCCGGGGTCGCCAGCCATATGAGGGCCCTGTGCGCCGCTGGACACCGGCCCTGGGGGACCCCCTACTCTGAGGGAATCGTGCCTTGGGGGACCCTGACTTGGAGACTCTGCCCTGGGGGGGGGGCCTTACCCGGGGTGAGGGGCCCTATCCTGGGAGACCCTGCCCTGGGACGCTTCTCTCAGGCTGGAAGCCCTCGCTTCCCTCACCCACCCCCGTCCCTGCGGAGCCCCAGGACAGCGTGGGCCCCGGAGACGCTGGCCCTCACCTGCGGTGTCCCAGATGGAGATGTTGTAGGAGCGCCACTGCTTCAGGTAGAAGGCGCCGCCCACCGTGCTGACCGTGTCGGGGAAGCGCCGCTCCATGTACCTCTGAAGCAGCGACGTCTTGCCCACGTTCATGTCCCCCAAAAGCACAATCTTCCCGTCGGGCTTCCTCATCTTCCCGCTGGATGCCCCCCTCCTGCTCCCCGCGCCTGTCCGGTCTGTGTGTCCCCGGCGCAATCGGAGCAACCGGCCGCAGCCCCCGAGACCGCTGGGACCCGGGACTCGCGGAGACCCAGACTCGCGGGGACCCGGCACTCGCGGAGACCCAGACTCGCAGGGACCCGAACTTGCGGAGACCCGCCGGGACCCTCCCGTCCGGACGCCCCGGCGCGTGGAAGAGGAAGCGCGCGTCCCCGCCGGGGCAGGAGCGGGGCACCCAGCCCGGCGCCCACCTCGGGTGTCCTGCCCGCGGCGGTCCGCGCCGGGCCCAAGGCGCCCCCGGCCCCGCCCCGGCCCTCCTCCGGCCCGCCCCCCGCCCCCCGGCCCTCCCCCCGCCTCCCGGCCCTCCGGAACGCCGGCCCCGCCCCGGCCCGCCCCGCTCCCCCGCGGGCTCGGCGCTGGCGCAAGAGCCGGAGCTCCTCTCCCGGAGCGGCCGGGAGGATGCGGGCCCGGGCGGAGCGCCGCGCCCGGGGCGGCTGGAGGCGAGAAGGAAAGTCGCGGGCGGCGGTTCCACCTGCCCACGCCCCCTGCCACCCCCGGGGCCTGGTATGCGCGGCCCAGACCGCAGGCTTGCAGCCCGGAGCGCTGCCCGGGCCCGGGGGCGCTGGTGACCCCAGAGCCGCGGGCACCTGGCCAGTCCCGTCCACAGCGCCTTGCCAGCTGTGTCCCTGTCCTCATCTGCGTGGGAGCAAATGTGGCCAGTAGTCAAGGTCGTTATACAACGTTCGCCTTAAACGAGCCTCTGTGAAAAGCCTCCCGGGACGCTGTTGGTGCTTAGAAAGCGGGGGAGCAGAGCAGGCGGCGGCGGGGCGCTGACCGCGCCGTCCCGGGATACTGTTCAGTTTTGCAAGAAACCGCTTATGCTATTTTGTATCTGAACGGCGGACAGTCGTCGCCGTTTCAACTTGGGAGCGAAAATTTGGCTTTGGCAGTTGCGACGACTGCTATCTTTCCTCCTTCCTTTCTTCGTAGAGTAAACCTTGAAATGCCTCCAAACTATTCAGCGTGTATTTATTTTGGAGGAATGCTGATGTAGAACCCCGCGGGCGCTGTTTGCCGAGACCACTGTGTGTCCTCTGGGCTCCCTGTCCAAGGAGAAGGGGACGGCCGCTCACGGAAGGGCCCTGGAGGCTCCGGGGGTGGAGGGGCGAAGGCATCTCAGGCTGCAGAGCTCCTGGGGCCCAGCGACCTGGGGCCTCGCGGAACGAACACTCGGGCTGGGAGGCTCCCTGGCAGACGAATGCTGTTCCCTCTGTGCTCTGGGCGCCCTCTCCGGAACAGAACTTCAGGCATCCTGTGTTGACTGCCTGTTGCATGCACCTTAGGGCACAGGCCCTGGGCATCGGACTGAGATTTCGTTCCTGCCCCAGAGGGTGGTGATGAATAGGTTTTGATAAACAAACTAAGCCTTGCTGCAAGGTTGCGAGTAGGTCTAAATTGTCCCCTTTGTGCAGGTGGAGCAGCCAGCAGAAAGTGCCTGTGGTGGGAGAGACTCTGAGCCGGGGGGAAGGAGAGCCCCCCTCCCCAGGTGAAGCCGGGACTGTGACCTAGACAGGGAGCGTGTGAAGGTTCAGGCCTGACTGTTTCTTCAGCTACAAATCACCCACTGGATCCTGCGAGCTCCTGGGTGGTTGGGGGAGAGCGAGACAGTGTGGGTGACCGCGCTGGCAGTTGCAAAGCTACTGTGGGGGAAGCGGGAGGATTCCCCCCCACCTTTTCCTTAAGCTTCTTATGGCTGGTCAAATAATTAAAGAGGCAGGTCAGCGGAGAAAATCAAACTTTAATAGCATGCATACACGGGAGAAACTCAGGGGACACTGAGTAACTCAGCCAGCTGGCCGAAGCTGCCTGTTTAAGCATCTTCAGCTGCAGACAAGTTTGGGGCTTCAAAGGGGAGGAAGGCAACCCTCATGGCAATGGAAAAGCAAATGTTTGGTAAATAGAACTTTGATGAGAGTGAGCTTATCAAGGATCCCCCCAGTCTGCTGGAGCCCAGAGTTATCTATGGTGACAGCCTGTTCCCAAAATTTATTTTAAATTTCTTTTAGGCAGTTGCTGGGGAAGGTCGAATGTTTTTGCTGCGTCTCAGCCTTTATTGTCTTCAGCTCGAAATAATCCACGTACCACTGTGGCGCATCTTGGGGCGGCCTGCCCTGAACCCCATCACTACACCAATGCCCAGGATTTTCTGGGCCCCCAAAGCAAATGCCAGTGGTCTGGAATAACTTGTCTGAAGCTAATTTTCCTTTGCAGAGGGTCCTATGCTCATCACATGTTTAAGAAGAACCCAGTAGGAGGTCACCTTTCCCTCCTTTCTTTAAAAAAAGGTCTTCCTAGGGCCAACCCTGGTGTCCTAGTGGTTAAGTTCAGCATGCTCTGCTTTGGTGGCCGGGGTTCAGTTCCCAGGTGTGGACCTGCACCACTCTGTTAGTGGCCATGCTGTGCTGATGGCCCACATACTGAAAAATAGAGGAAGATTGGCCTGGATGTTAGCTCAGGGTGAATCTTCCTCAGCAAAAAAAAAAAAAAAAAAAAAGGTCTTCCTACCTGGAGGGAGAAAAAGAATCTTATGTTTAATCCTGCTGCTTCCTCCAGCTCCCTCTTCTTCCTCACCTTCCTTTCAGGGCCAACCTCTCTGGGCATCACTTGCCTTTTCCTGCAGCCCCTGCCATCTGGCTTCCATGCCCGCCTCCCTGGAGAAGCATCTACTCAAGGTCCCTAATGACTTGCTTGTTTCTAAATCCAGGGGCCTCTTTCTAGTCCTTTCTACAGACACTCTTCTCTACTGACTTGGACGCCGTTGGTCCACCCTGCCCGCGTTCCCTGGTTCTCGGTGGTTCTCTGTTATTCCCACTCACATGTTCCCTGTTCTCAAGCACCTTCAGTCCCCCTCCTCTGACTGCAGCTTTGTTCCTTGTTTTGGAACATTTTTGAAGTACAGAGAATAATATAACAGACAGTACCTGCAGTCCCGCTTCCCAGAACTCACAAAGGTTACCATTGTATGATTTCCAGTCCAGATGATGTTTAGGGAAATAGGACACTAAAAATAAACTCAGTGTCCCTTTTCTTCCTTTCGCCTGCCTGGTCCCCCTTCTCCACCTAAGGTAACCCCGTTCCTGAGTTTGGTGTGTGCCTTTCAGGTTCATTTTAAAGGCGATTTTCCTCTCATGCATGTCACTGTATTCGATGCCATAACAAAGTACACAGACTGCGTGGCTTTGACGGCAGACATCTATTCTCTCACGGTCCCGAGGCCGGAAGTCTGGGATCAAGATGTCAGCAGGATCACGGTCTCCCGGAAGCCTCGGGGGAGCATCCTGGCTGGCCTCTCCCTGCTTCTGGTGGCCCCAGGAGGCTGCACTCTCTCCCTCTGAACTCACGTGACCAGCTTCTCTCAGTGCGCCCTTCTCCGTGTCCAAATTTGTCTTTTCTCCTAAGGAGACTGGACCTCCTGGATGAAGGGCCTGCCCTACTCCAGATGACCTCATCTTACTAACTGCATCTGCAGCAAGCCAGTGTCCAAATAAAGGCACATTCTGAGATTCTGGGGTTAGGATATCAACATATCTTTTCTTTAGGGAGGGGAGCCACAGTTCAACACATAAGAGTAGCTGTCAGTTGGGGCCAGCCGGGTGGCACATCGGTTAAGCGTACACGTTCCACTTCAGTGGCCCAGGGTTCGCTGGTTCAGATCCAAGGTGCGGACATGGCACCACTTGGCAAGCCATGCTGTGGTAGGCGTCCCACATATAAAGTAGAGGAAGATGGGCATGGATGTTAGCTCAGGGCCAGTCTTCCTCAGCAAAAAGAGGAGGATTGGCAGCAGATGTTAGCTCAGGGTCAATCTTCCTCAAAAAAAAAAAAAACAGTAACTATCAGCAGTTTATAAACAATATATTAGACCGTGTCAGTCACCTGTTGTGCATAAGAAACCACCATAGGGGGTGGGGAGATGAGGAGAGCTTAGAAAAGGGGACAAGCCTTCAGTTATAATGAGTAAGTTCTGGGGATCTAATGACATTTGCCCAGAGACTATTTTTCTTTTATCTTTTTGAGGAAGACTAGCCCTGAGCTAACTACTGCCAGTCCTCCTCTTTTTTTTTTTTTTTAAAGATTTTATATGTAAAAGAATGAAAATTGACCATTCTTTTTCACCATTCACCAAAATAAACTCAAAATGGATTAAAAACCTAAAGGTGAGACCTGGAACCATAAGGCTTCTGGAAGAAAACGTAGGCAGTACACTCTTTGACATCAGTATTAAAAGGGTCTTTTTGGACACCATGCCTTCTCAGAGAAGGGAAACAATAGAAAGAATAAACAAATGGGACTTCATCAGATTAAAGAGCTTCTTCAAGGCAAATGAAAACAGGATTGAAACAAAAAAACAACCCACTAACTGGGAAAAAATATTTGCAAGTCATATATCTGACAAAGGCTTAATATCCATAATATATAAGGAACTCTCACAACTCAACAACAAAACATCAAACAACCCAATCAAAAAATGGGCTGGAGACATGAACAGACATTTCTCCAAAGAAGATATACTGATGGCCAATAGGCACATGAAAAGATGCTCATCATCGCTGATCATCAGGGAAATGCAAATCAAAACTACACTAAGATATCACCTTACACCCATTAGAATGACAAAAATATCTAAATCTAATAGTAACAAATGTTGGAGAGGTTGTGGAGAAAAAGGAACCCTCATACACTGCTGGTGGGAATGCAAACTGGTGCAGCCACTATGGAAAACAGTATGGAGATTCCTCAAAAAATTAAAAATAGAACTACCATACGATCCAGCCATTCCACTACTGGGTATCTATCCAAAGAGCTTGAAGTCAGCAATCCCAAAAGTCCTATGCACCCCAATGTTCACTGCAGCATTATTTACAATAGCCAAGACGTGGAAGCAACCTAAGTGCCCATCAACAGATGATTGGATAAAGAAGATGTGGCATACATATACAATGGAATACTACTCAGCTGCAAAACAGAACAAAATCATCCCATTTGCAACAACATGGATGGACCTTGAGGGAATTATGTTAAGTGAAATAAGCCAGTTAGAGAAGGATAATCTCTGTATGACTCCACTCATACGAGGAATTTAAAAATGTGGACAAAGAGAACAGATTAGTGGCTACCAGGGGAAAGGTGGGGTGGGGGGTGGGCACAAAGGGTGAAATGGTGCACCTATAACATGAATGACAAACATTAATGTACAACTGAAATCACACAAGATTGTAACCTATCATTAACTCAATAAAAAAAAAGAAA